GGCTCGCCCGGGTGCTGAGCAGAGAGTTTCTGGTCCTGGGCTCAAAGGGCACCAGAGAAACGAGCCTCCCGTGGGGTGACAAAGGCAGAAACTTCAGCCCAACTCCTGGGTTAAATCCCTCGGCAGCACAGGGACCAGCTAGCTTGGGGGGGTGGTTACAGCTGCCAGGCCGTGCCTCTTTCAGCAAAAAACGTCTTAAACTGATGCCTGGTTCTTTCTCCCCCTCTCTCCCAGATCAAAAATGACTGTCAAAGCTGTAAAAATGCCGTGCACCGCTCCAAATGTTTATACTAAAGTGCCTGACGGAGGATGGGGTTGGACAATTGCTTTTGCTTTCTTCTTTGTGGAAGCTCTAACGTACGGCATAATAAAATCGTTTGGACTCTTCTTTAATGACCTGATGGAAAGCTTTGATGAAACAAACAGCAGGATCTCCTGGATAATATCCATATGCGTGTTTGTGCAGACCTTCACAGGTAAGAGTAGGGTGCGTTCGGTGCGAAGGCAAGGGGCAGTTGCACTGGTGACTTGGCACGGGTACCAGGTCCTCGTCTGCCATTCATGCCTCTGATGGCTCCATCATAAAGAACAGCCGTAAAGCCCTGAGGCTGTGTGCTCCTGAAATAACAAGAAATGCCTGTCTTGGCTTGACAGTCCCTTTGAGCCCCAGCTCCTGTCCTTCTGCATGGTACAGGGACATGGTCCGTATTGCTGAGCCTGGCCTGGCTGTTCAGCTCCCATCAGCAAGGGGTGAAAATACGAGTTTTGAAACCTAACTCTGTAGTGAAAAGGATCAGAAATAACTTGAGCCTCAGCAAAATCCACTGGTGTCCGTGGATGCTGCTGCAGGATTGTCCCAGGCTGCCACGCACCCGCCTTAGTCTCTTCAGGTGGTTTGTTTTTTTTTTAGCACTTCCTAAATGCCGTGAGCTGTGCAGTGCTCCAGGGATGGCTCTGGGGTGATTCTCTGCTGCCTGAGGCCAACTGGCAGGGGAGGTGGCATGTCACGGGGACCTGGGCAGGGGTACAAGAGCCTCTGAAGGAGATGGTAGCTGGTGAAGTTGCTGACTTGGCTGTTGACCACAGCTCTCTTCCTCTCCCGCCCATCCAGCTCCTTTGTCGACAGTCCTCAGCAATCGCTTTGGTCACCGCTTCGTGGTGATGGTTGGAGGGGTGCTGGTCAGCACGGGCATGGTCACTGCCTCCTTCGCCTGCACTGTTGTGGACATGTATGTCACCATTGGCATCATCTCTGGTGAGTCGTCCTCTTCCCATACCTGCCAAACGCTTCACTCTCCTACGGCTTCCTCCAAGCGTGGCTCTGGTCAGGGGGTTTTACTCCCCCCCGAGTCAGGGAGTGCTTGAGAAACGCTGCTGCCCCTTCTTGGCTGATGTCACCCTCCTGGTAGAGGTGGTGACCTGGGCTCAGGGCTTGGCTTTCTGCCCTGTCTCACCCTGGGGACCACCTCGGGACTTGGTCCTGCAGACCACTGCGCTAGTGCCGCTGTACTGACTGCTTCTGGTTGACTGGGACTGCTGGGGAGATGAAAGCTCTTCATGGGGTCGAATCCTCTAACCTGTCCCTCTATCTCCTTTTTTCTTTTTTTTTCCTTCTGATACTGCCCCCCCCCAACCTGGCCTGGGTGTTGTGCTCACATCCATGGCCAGGAGCTTGCCTCGCTTAGGAGAGCAATTGCTACAGGCTCAAACTCGTTAAGCAGATGAGGTCCTCAAAGTGGACCCCGCTGGCTGTTTGGGAACAGAAGGCATTATCTAGCAGGTTTGGGAGGTTGGGTCACTTGTTTTGGGTTTGGGTTTCTTTAGTGGGGTTTTTTTGTTTATTTTTTTCTTTCCCCCCCCTCCAATTTAAAAAAAAAATAACATTCTAGTTTCCCCAATGATTTTCTTCGAGGGTGACTTGCTGAGTTGGCCGAAATGATACTGTAATCTCACCACCGGGAAACTGACTTAACGTGTTCTTGCATCGGTGTTTCCCTCTCCCTTACTTGTTGTTATGGCAATTTTTGGCATTTATTCACAGGCCTTGGATACTGCCTCTGTTTCCTCCCGACTGTCACCATTTTATCACAGTATTTTGACAAAAGACGTTCGCTGGTCACAGCAGTGGCATCCACAGGGGAATGTTTTGCTGTTTTCTCCTTTGCACCAGGTACAGTCCCCAAATGCTGTTGAATTCATACGTGCATGCCTAAAGCACAACGTTGCTCCGATCCTTTTCCCAAGGAAATGGGAGCCAAAGGCAGAGCTGGTGCTCGTGGACCTTCCCTTGAGCTGCTGAAGCCCACAGGTGGTTGCTCGCATGTCCGCGGCACTCGTGCCCTGCAGGCAGGGTTACGAGTAATCCTAGAGACTGGTCTAACGATGCCTGAGCTCTCCCCAGCATCGCCTGCCAGTGCAGGACGTGCCTCGCTGATACGCAGCCCGCCGGGTTCCCTATATAGATCTAGCGGGCTAAAAATAAGACTGGGAAACTTCAGCTATTTAAAACACACGCAGTACACACAACTGCTCCTAAAGGTTAGTGGGCTCGTGCTTAGCACGGGCTGCTGAACTGCTCCAGCCTTTTGAGGACCAGTCCCCAGGCAGCATGTTCCTGTCAGTGCCCTGTCACCGCCTGTCCTCTGCAGTTCAGGGGGTCTTCTGCTGCGCACACTTGCTTTCAGCTAATACCAGTGGCAAAGCTGCTTTGATCGCAACTGGAGGCTTGTAATTCAGCAGTGGCATGCACCTTTGAGTAGAGCAAGGAGACTTCCTCTAGCAGCTGGTTTCAGGGTGGGGTCAGCTGAGAGAGGAAACTCGAAGGTTGAGTTTGCTCTCATTCACTAAAAATAACAACACCTTCGTCCTCTCGCATCCCAAACTGGCTGGGACCTCAAAAGTGGCTACCTAGAGGATAGCTTCTGCTGGCCAGATGTTAAATGCGACTTCTGGCTCTTGGCTGCTGCAGGTGATGGGAGGAATGTGCGTGCCAGACCCCTGGGTGGCCCTGGGCAGGATGGAGCAGGAGGGACCCCTGCTTAGCCCCTGCGAGAGCTGAGGTGCTTGGGACCCTCCAGTGATGAAGCTGCTGTTAGTTCCCAAGCTGTGATTTCAAATAGCTCCTTGGTGTAGCTACAGGCTTTTCTAGTTATACTTTCTTCTTCTTCTGCCCTCTTCCCTCAGCAATTACTGCTTTGAAGGAGCAGATTGGCTGGAGATACAGTCTCCTTTCTGTCGGGGTACTACAGCTAAGCATCGTCGCCTGCGGATTGCTGCTGCGACCCATTATCATCAAAGAGCAAGAAGAAGTGAAAGCGCAGCCTCCAGAAGAGCCCGCGGAGACAAAGTACATGCTTGAAAACGAGCAAACACGCACCTCAATAGAGTCCATAGACTCAGGAGTAGAAGTAACTACCTCACCCAGCAATGTGCCTGGAAACACCAAAGCAGAGCCGAAAAGTGAAGAACCAAAGGAACACGTACAGATACTTACTGAACATGACAGCACCCCTCTGCAACCAAAAACCAAACTACTGGACTTTTCAGTGATGAGAGACTATAGCTTTATCTGTTATGCATTCTTTGGCCTGTTTGCTACCCTGGGCTTCTTGGCTCCTTCCCTCTACATCATTCCACTGAGTCTTAGCCTTGGCATCAGCAAAGACCACTCTGCATACATACTGTCGGCCATGGCGATCGCAGAGGTCTTTGGAAGGATTTCAGCTGGCTGGGTTCTCAACAAGGAGCCGATCCGCAATATCTACATCGAACTCATCTGTGTCGTTCTGCTGTCTGTAGCGCTGTTTGCCTTCCCTTTTGCCTCTGAATTCTGGGGCTTGATGACATGTAGCATATTTTTTGGGTTCATGCTCGGAACGGTAGCGGGCACGCATATTCCCCTCCTGGCAGAAGATGACGTGGTTGGCATCGCAAAGATGTCTTCTGCGGCTGGAGTCTACGTCTTCATTCAAAGCTTAGCTGGGTTGGCCGGACCACCCCTCGCAGGTAACGCCAAAACTTTCATCTTTGGGGTTGGTTGTTTTGGTATGTTTGACAGTTATTGGTGCTGATCTCTGTCTAGGAGGTGTTCTGGCATCGCTAATCGTAGTACTATCCTGAAAGCCCTGCAACTAGTGTTAGGAGGCTCTTAGAGCAGAAGACTGCTGCAATGCAGCTCTGCAGAGTCCCACAGATGAGGCAGTCTCCACTGAGGAACCTTGGAGTAAAGGAAAATACTGCAGTGCTGCCCTGATCCTGTTAGAAACCTAAAACTGGCACCACTTCAGGCTCTAGCGAACGGCAGAAACGAATCGCTTTCGCCGTGCGTGTGTTTCTGCCGTACACTGCAGAAAGGTGAAGTCTCTATCATGACAAAGGCGCCTGATGCATCTCAGGCTTAGCATCCCTGCAGTGCCCTGAGGCTTCTGACTTGCCTGGAGATGACACTACGTACCCCTGAACACACTGGTTTTCACTCTTTTTAAGGTAGCATCTGTGTGTCATTGCATATTTTTTGATTGCAAATAAAATGATGCAGTGGTACCCGGATTAAAAATCCTATAAGAGGGATGGATGGGCAAGGGAGAGAGTCGGTTGTGGCTAACTGCTGTAAATGTGTTTTCTGTAGGTGTCTTAGTGGATACGACACAGAACTACAGCTCAGCCTTTTACTCCTGTGCTGCTGGCATGGTCCTGGGTGCCGTGTTTCTGTCCCTGGTGAGGCCGTGCAAGGCTGGGCTGTGCCGCCGCCAGCAGCAGCGCACAGAGGAGAGCGCGATGGAGGTTGTAGTAGACTTCCCAGATGACTTTATTGAAATGGATATTGGAAAAGCAGAAAATTCAGGAAAAGGCTGTGACAGCGTGCCATAAAAAAACCCTGTTCCTTCTCCATCCAGTGTACGCGGCGTAAGACTGGGGAAAATGTCAGCTCTGCTCCACGTTTTAAAACTACATTCTAAAGGGAATGTGAAATTTTAAATGTGAACAGTTGCTACCAACAACTTTTTTTTTATTATTAGAAAGAACTTTTTTAACCAACAATGGAAAGCTCCATAGAAAATACGGATAGCCACATAAGAATAACTTCTGTCTAGCATGAAGGTGTGATGCACACTCCTGCTTTCCTGATAACAAGCATAGGTAAAGGTTCGACTGGTCCCAGAAGAACTGAGAACAGCAACAGCAGAAGCAGCTCAGCCTCTAACTGTCCTCACCCATCCCCTACTGCAAATTCCACACAGCCAAGGAACAGATGATATGAACTGGGCACGAGCATTTCATATGTCTCCAGTAGCCAACGGGATCTTCTGGAAGAACATGGACTCAGATTTGAGGAGGAGGCTAGGCTAGATAGCTGACTTAAACCATTGCTAATGTTCTTCTAATTAACTTGAATGTCACAAATGCTGGGAAATTGGTGGCTCCGTATGTCTTTATGGCCAGTTATTATTGCACATTTTTCATAAGATCATTTTTCTTCTCCCCATTGGTATCTGTAGAATTGTTTTCTATTGATAGTCAGATCTGATGTACTGTTTCTAATTTAACTAGTATTTATTAATTTATTCTAAGATTGTTAAAGGAGGTTAGCTTAAATAACTGGAGAAGAAAAATCATCTTTTGCATAATGGAAAGCTGTCTTTACATCAATCTCTTCAATACCTATCTTGTATTGCTAGCTTGTGAAATTGTTGGGAAACTTAATCTTACAGCATAGAGTGTAGCTGTTTTTAATAGGTAGGTCTTAGGTAACCCAATTGTTACTTAGAAAGGAAAAAGAAAAAATAAACTACAGATCCAGCATCTCTTTCCATAAGGCCTCAGCTGGTGTCAATGGACCTAGCTCTGCTGCTGTAACCAGCCCACCCCGCAGGGAGGATTTGGCCCAGTATGTCTTAATGTACCCGAAACCTTTGCTTACAGGTGCACAAGGAAATCTTTGCCGCATCACCGAACGAATGTGGAAGCCCCCCCAGCCCCTTGCAGTCTGCTCCCTGTATCTGCCAACGCTGGGGGGCACGGGGCAGCTGGTTGGAGCTATACCCCCTTCCCTGGCTCTCCCTGCTCCCCCAAAGTCAGCAAGAGGCTTTTTTTTTTTTTTTTTTTTTTTGCTGCTGACTTCAGTGAGAAATGAACTGGAGCCTGTGCACACTGAAGGCGTGAAGGGAATGATAAAAGACAACATACGAGCTGTTCATTTAGTCTTAATGGGAGAGATTCCTACTCACGGTGACACAAGCTTGCTTACCCCACCTATATGCATCTTAACGCCTCTAGGCAACTCAGGGGGACAAATAAAAGAAGTCTGTTTTGGTTTGGAAAAAAAAAACCCAAACCAACATTTCTGTGTATTTTAAGTGGCAGCATGCATTAACAGCTACGCTGACCTCTCTGTATTTTACCAGCCATAGAAATGTGGGACAATCTGTTAAAGAAACCCCTCTTTTTGGGAAGGTGCTTGATTTGTTTTTTTTTTCTGTCTTAGATGTCCAAAAAAAAAAAAAAAAAGAAAAGAAACAGGCACTCTTGTAACCAAGTGGCTCGAGCAATTCATCCTCACTGCCCGAGACCTGCGGTCTCGCGTCTTTCCTCTGCCTCAGCACTTTATCACGGCCAGCAGAACCTCGCTGCGTTGCACCCAGGACTGGAAGACCCCTTACAGAGAACTAGTGTTTTGTGAATCAGTGAGTAAATGAACAAGTTAACGATGTTGCATTAAGATGTACTTTTTATTTATTGTTAATTTATGATACTTCAAGCATTTTGGTAAATGTTCTGTAGACTGTAATTGTAAGATTATTGAAGTCTTTGTGATACGAGACCTCACTACAGCACTTTGCTATTACAACTCTGCTTGGAAGTGGAATAAGGCCTCCAGGTTTTGCGTGTGTGTGGAAGCTCCCTGTTCTGCAGATTTGCGAGGTTCTACTGTAATTTTTTTTTTTTACAATGATTTCCAGATCAAATAATATGTTCGTCACTGACCTCACAGTACATTTCTGTTCCTGTCTGTGTAGCGGCACGAGCAGGGGAGCGAGTGAGTATGTGTGTGTGCGGGCGCAGAAGACCCAGAAGCAGGCTTTAATGCGTTCAGAGCGGGATTTACTGATTTGTTTGTAACGTACCTAGTGGACTCTGGAAATACTCTAAAACACTCTGTAACAATAACTTTTTTCCTTTTTTTTTTTTTTTTTTTTTAAATAAAATGAAGAAACTTTCCTTCTCTCCCTCTTCTCCATCCCTGGGGTGAGGCTGGGTCAGCCTTCGCCCCGTGAGGTTGTTGCAGGGTCCGGCCGCTGCTTCCCCTCCCCGAAGGGCTCTGGCAGCGTGGCTGTCACATGCCGCTTCCTCAGCCTGAAGTAGCGTGTTTACCCTGCAAATTGGGCAATCCTGCGTTCTTTCAACGGAGCTGCTTGGAAGCTGGTAGATCAGTGGTGACCTCAAGGGTGCTCTTGTAAACCCTTACCCGGGGAGGCCTGATTAGAAGGAGCCTTTTCTTCTGATTGGTAACTGAATTGGTGGCACTTGGGAACATTCTCCTCGTGTCTTCAAGAAGCATGCAATCATGTAATTATTTTATCATCTCTGAATTGCAGAATACTTTCTGCATGCCAGGCAAGGCGGCTCATGTATCAGAAATCAAGCTACTAAATAGCAGGGTAATCGCACTAAAGAGCAATTTTCTCTCCCTCAAACCTTATTTCTTTTTACACCAGCTGAGACAGGCCCTTGCCTGCTTAGCCCATCGCTCCCAGCATCACCAAACCCTGCAAGGAGTAATGCTGCCACGCCGCTTCATTTCAAATACCAGTTATGTATTAGACTTGCAAATGAACTACTTGTTGAAGGAATCATCACGCCACTGATACATATTAAGTGCAATTTGTTTTCATTCCGGTTGCAGAAGTCCTAGAACAGAGCTGATTGCGCATAGAACCAGCGCAGACTCAACGCAAATACCAAAGTCCTGGGAAGCTAATCTTTCTCCAAATTTTGACTGGCTCAATTACAGCAGTGAACAAACATTATTTGCAATAGCTTCCTCAAAAACACCCCCCCCCCTCCAAAAAAAGCATTACAAAGGCTGCACACTGTTCACATGAATAAAGGCACATAAAACTCTTAACGCTATCAGTTGTCTCCCTGCATAGAAACAATTTTGGGTAATTTTTCCCACCTGGTTTGAGTTAATTGCCCACGACCTGCTCTGTTATCCTGGTACAAAGGCATTAAGGCTAGAACAAAATAGGATAAGAACACTTATTTTTGTTCAGTAGCATTGTGTAGAAGCACCTAAAGGACAAGGAGGGGCAGAACTCGAGGCAGTAAGCCTCGGTATTCCTCTCAAAAGCGGTTGTATAAACTCTTGTAGTCAATGAGGCCAGTGCCAGCCAAATGTAAATAAAGGAAATTGCACAAGGTCAGCTTGCAGAAGGACAAAAAGCCCTCAGACCATAGGTATCTGTCCTTTCTGAAGCAGAAAGGAAGCTGTACAGTGGGTTTGTTTGTTGTTTTGGGGTCTTTTTTTTAAAAAAAAAGCCCGACAAAACCATTTTTCCATTTGAAATTAAAAGGAAGGGCAACCTCTTGTTCTTTTTCACTTACTTTAGATAAGCCAACATCAGGTACTTAAGGGGACAAATGAATCTTTAAAAATAGCTAAACTGGTTTTGGAAAAAATAAAGTAGGTGCTTACAAAACAACTGGAGTGCTTTAACGCTTCCCTTCAGATGTTACTTGTTAGCATCTGAGATCATCATTTTCCAGCTGCCTGTAGTAAACATGACCTGAATTTTCACAGTGATGGCAGCCCCAGCAGCAGCCTTCCTCCCTTCATCCCTCCTTCTTTAAAGCTCATCTTTAAGATGCTTCACAGGTTGGGTTTAGGAAAACATCCCAGTAACTTCTAGCTTGGTTTGAAGGCTGAGAGAGAAAGCACTGCTGCCCAGAGGAATTATTTTATACTTGATGTCCTCACCAAAAGACAGTTCCCACCGGCATACTGCACCGGCAATGCGTGGGAAAGGCTCCCGGGCGTCCCAAGACGCTATCGGTTGGAGAAGCCGGTTCGCAGCCGCGATGTGTGCGTGCCTCCTGCCAATCCAGGGGACCTCTGGGCATCCTGGCACCAAAACCGGCGTTTTCCCCTCCCCGGTTTCACTCACACGGACTTTTACTTGCAGGATTTGCAAACTCGTGGCTGCGCTAGCATAAAGCTTGCTCTTGCAAATTGCGGCGAGTCGTCTAATAAATCAAATGCAATCCCCCACCCTCCTTCCTACTGCAGTTGTCAAGCTCCAGTTACAACAATTTGTGGTAAAATATTACTCACCAGCACTTTGGCCTGTGTGAGCAGCTCTGCCTCTGTAAAGACAGCCCCCTAAATCACTGCTTTGTCACAGAAGCCACAAGCATAACCGAAAGACTTATTACACACAGACATTATGAGAATAAGGCCGAGGAGACAATAGTTTCCCTCGCTTCCTTTTTGTCAAAGCTTTCATTAACATCGTGAACGTCTTTTGCTACTTCACCCGCTGCCGGCTGCTTGCTGCAGTCAGCCTGGCAGAGGAACGGCCCAAACCAGCCGGAGCAGCAGCGAGACCGAGTTGGGCGATGGCAAACCGGGCTGCTGAGCATCACCCCGTGCTCCTGCTTCAGCGACCTGCTCTCCCCAGTGACACTGGTACCTTGTGTCCTGCCTCTCTGCTCCCTTAATTTGCTTCAATCTCCACCAGCTTGCGCTTGTGCTATGGGAAGTTACCAAAATTAGGCATTTTAAGCACTTCGAACACATTGAGGCTTTTGCATTTTGCTGTTGATGTGGCTGGTTTTTGGGTTGTTTGGGTTTGTTTGGGTTTTTTTTTCAG